GGGAGAAGCCGCTGCACAGCCTGGTCACGGCGGCCGCACTCAACGGCCTCTTCTGGTAACGGCCGCGGAGGAGGGGGCGGGGCCGGGCTGCGCGGGAGAGCGGGGGCGGGAGGACCGGGGGCGCCCTCCCTGCGAGGGCTGTCAGCCGCTGAAGCGGTGATCCATCATCAGGTTGCCCCATTTCTTAGTCTCTTGGTGACGGCTCAGGCTTAGAGGGCCGTCTCCCCGTTCAGTGAATCTTTCTGCCCTTTTCGATGGGTTTGGGCACCTCTCACCCACTCGCGGCTGAGATGCCTGTCTCCCTAAGGTTGTTGTCTTCGTCGTCCCTCCGGCCCTTCTTCCTGCTCAGCATCTCACTTTTGACCTATTTCCTGCTGGATCTCTGGCATCCTCGCTTTCTCCCCGACGTTTCAGGTGAGTTTCTTCATTCCACTTGCACTCGTCTGCACATGCCTTGTGCCTCACCCTACTGCGTGAGATTGAATCGTAAAGGGAAGGTGCAGCAAGGCCGTTTGCCTCCTAGGTGTGCACTGTGCCCGTTCGTCCCCATTTTAAGAAATTGCCTGAAACGAGAATCGTCTGTCTCCCAAAATAAACGTTCTTGTGGGGTTAGTAGTGAAAACTGTTGAGTTTAGAGCTGACTGTGGTGGCGCAGGTTTTTAGTGCCAGTGCTCAGCAGAGGCAGGCGAATCTCTGTGAGTTCTAAGCAGGAGTTACAAAGTGAGACATTGTCTCAAAAAATAAATAAAAATAAAAAACTGTAGAGTTTGTAGCGAGGCACCTAATCAGGTGAATGGACTTGTAAAGAGGGACTTCACAGGGGATGATAGTTAAATGACTGTCTACAAAGAACGTGATAAGAGTTGGCATCGCAAATTCTTTTGTTTTGTTTGTTTTTCGAGGCAAGGTTTATCTTTGTAGCCTTGCTGTGCTGGCCCTCGCTCTGTAGACCAGGCTTTTCTCAAACTCACAGAGATCCACCTGCCTCTGCCTCCCGAGTGTTGGGATTAAAAGCGTGCACCACTACTGCGTGGCTTCTTTTGGCTTTCTTATACCCACCTATTGAGCATCTTGAAACAACTATGTAACGGACTGTGTATGAATTGTTCAGGACACAAACGAATAAAGTGTGGGCTCCTGTGTTTGATAAAGTTGAAGTCTAAAGAAGGAGGCAAAGATAGGCTTAGTGGTGCAGGCCTGCCATCTCAATTACATAAGAGACTGAAGCAGAGGAGGGTGCAAGTTCAAGGCCTCCCCTGTTTTAAGAAAAGGATTGGGGATGTAGCTCAGTGGTACAGCGTTTGTCTAGTGTTTACTTCAGGTTCAGTTCCAAGTACCGCAAAAAAGGGTACAGAAACAACTTGTAATACAGCCTGTTGTTAGTGTACGAAGGAAATGCTCTGGGCCTCGTGCAGTGGTTCATTCCTATAAGTGAGAGACAGGAGGATCACTGAAAATTTGAGACCAGCAATGCTGAGGAGATGCAATTCCTTTTGATTTGGAATCTGTCTCTCAGTGCTTCTTGCACTCTTAATTTACTCCCCCCCTTTTTTTTCTCTATAGCATCACCCCCTGAGGAACCACACTCTGACAGGTGAGTACAGGCCACCTTTTAAAGAAAATGCCCAAATGTGGTCTTCTTGCTATGTTCAGATCAGCTCAAAGATGAGCAAGGCTGCCCCTTCTGCAGGCGTAGGTCCAGTATAGTGAAGGGGCATGCAGCAAGCAAAAGTGTACTGGCCCTAGGCTTCTATGCAGATGCTGTGTGCCTTCTCCTGTGGAGGTAGAAAGTTGAGTACCCTGGGAATTTGCTTCTCAGGACTAGGATGACCTCCTTTGGGGGAGGTGGGGTTTCCACATCTCCAGATGGAAGAGCTGGTCAGCAATCTCAAAGTGATGTGAGTGCCTTAGAAAGCTGGCTTCTGAGGCTTCCAGGGGTCATGTCGTGTCTTCCCCAGTGAGGGTGCGGGGTCAGGCGCCCAGCCGCACCTGCTGAGTGTGCCCGAGTTGTGCAGATACCTGGCTGAGAGCTGGCTCACCTTCCAGATTCACCTGCAAGAGCTGTTGCAGTACAAGAGGCAGAATCCAGCTCAGGTAAACTTCATCCTGTAGCAGTTCCTGGAGCCAGAGGGGATGGGAGAGGAGGCAATATGAGCAGTGGCTATTGTAGATTTCCCAAACTGGTTCCATTCTTCCACCAGATGAATAGTAGTTCCTTCCCCAGGTGACTGGGCGCATGGTTTAGTCCAGTGTTCTTCATAGATCCTGTGCTCTTCTCTGCAGTTCTGTGCTCGAGTCTGTTCTGGCTGTGCTGTGCTAGCTGTGTTGGGACACTATGTTCCAGGGATTATGATTTCCTACATTATCTGTGAGTGGAGGCCAGCCCTGCCCATTCCAAAGCCCTTTCTATTCTTTCCCTGGATTGACCCAATGGAAAGACTGCATTTTCTCTATTATTTACCCATCTGGGGAGGAGAGTGGTAGATGGGGGAAAGAGGATGTCATTGCCTTGAGAAGGAATCTCATCTTTATTTAGACTCACCTGTTAAGGGGACAGTTTAAATGAAGGTTCTTGGGAAATTGACATTCTGAGCTCTGAGTGGATTTCCTAATCCATAGTGTTGAGTATCCTGCTGTGGCCCCTGGTGGTTTATCATGAACTGATCCAGAGGATGTACACACGCCTGGAGCCCTTGCTCATGCAGTTGGACTACAGCATGAAGGCAGAAGCCGATGCCCTGCATCACAAACATGACAAGAGGAGTAAGGGAGTCTCTGAGCCTAGGAGGGTGAAAAGTGGGGAGGGCCTGAGGTTTATAGCTCATGATGTGTCCTAAAACTTAAGTCATTTCCAGTTCCTTAGTCATATTTGTCCCCCACTATTGTCTTTGCTCACATTGCCTTATTACCCTTCTCTAGAGCGGCAAGGGAAGAATGCACCCCCAGCAGGTGATGAGCCACTGGCTGAAACAGAGAGTGAAAGCGAGGCAGAGTTGGCGGGCTTCTCTCCAGTGGTGAGATCCAGGGAAGATGGGTGTGAAGTAGAAAACTAAAGGGAAGCTAGTTATGGTCATGCATACCTATAATCTATTTGAGAGGTGGAAGCAGAAGGATCAAGAGTTCAAGACCAGCCTGGTTTTCATTATGAGTTTGGAACCAGCCTGGACTGTATAAGACCCTATCTCCAAACTCTTAAAAAGGCAGAGGGAGGGGCGAGGATCTAACTGCTTTAGAACTACCACTTCTCAAGTAGGTGGAAGCCAGAAGGCTTGGGGTAAAGTGTTTTTTCCCTCCTTTTGGATTCATCCTGTTTCTCCTGCAGGTGGATGTGAAGAAAACAGCACTGGCCTTGGCTATTACAGACTCAGAACTGTCAGACGAGGAGGCCTCTATCTTAGAGAGTGGCGGCTTCTCTGTATCTCGGGCTACCACCCCACAACTGACAGATGTTTCTGAGGGTATGAACAGCCTTTTGCCCCTCTTAATCTTCCTGTTCACTGATTCTGAGTTGTTGCTGCTGTGTTCTCAGAGTTCCAAAAATGCTTCCTTCAGCTAACTGATTCTCTAATTTACCCTAAGCTCCCAGAAGACCTTAACTCAGTATTCCACCCTCATTTTGCTTTGCTTTGTGGGGTTTGTTTGTTCTTTTATTGGTCTTAGATGTTTCTTTTATGTGTATGAGTGTTTGACCTGCATGTATGTGCATACCACATGCATACCTGGTGCCTGCAAAAGTCAGAAGAGGGCAACTGATCTCCTGGAGCTGGGTTTATGGATGGTTGTGATCCACCATGTGGGTCCTAGGAATCAAATCAGGGTCCACTGCAAAAGCAGTGAGTGCTCTTAACCATCAAGCCAGCTTTCTAGCTCTGCTTTGCTTTTTGAGAAAGGATCTTTTATATAGCTCAGGCTTGCTTCAAACTCTGTGTAGCAGAGGATGACCTGAACTTTTGATCCCTCCTGCCTCAACTTCCCAGATGTTGGGATTACAATAGGCATATGCCACAGGGCCTGGCTTCCCAAGTTATCTTCATGAACGTACTGGCTTTTGTGACCAGAGAAACCAACCTGTTCTTAACCCTTTATTCTTTTGCACAGATTTGGACCAGCAGAGCCTGCCAAGTGAGCCAGAAGAGGCTCTGAGCCGCGAACTTGGGGAGGGGGAAGAGACAGAGCTGGCCCCTCCTGAAGACCTGCTAAATGCCCCTCCAGCCCTCTCAAAGCAAGCGCTGGATACAGAAGAGACTGCAGTCAAGGAAACCTTGCTTCAGCTCTCATCCCCTCTTCACTTTGTGAATACGCACTTCAATGGGGCAGGGTCCCCCCAGGATGGAGTGAAATGCTCCCCTGGAGGACCAGTGGAGACCCTGAGCTCAGAGGCAGTGAGTGCTGACATAATGGCTCCACCCAGCGCCCTCTCACCCCCACTTTGCCTGGCTGAAAGTGGTCCAGTTACCCTCCTCTCCCCCTCTGTGCTCCCATCCCTTCCCCAGGACTCACCTC